CGTATGTCAATGATTAGGGCGTCGGACTTTTAACCAACAGGTCGGGGGTTCGAAACTCAAATGCTTTAAAAAACCGATTGGTTATGGCTGACTGTCCTTGCCGATAGTGTTATCCTTCCTAAAAAAGGATAAGAGCAAGAGGAGGAACGCCTTCTGTCACAGAAAACTAAAATATAAATGAATCCCACAAACGCTGATGGATGCTAATCCGCTAGGAACGCACCTTTACGAGGGCTTCCAACTCGCCACCAATTTCTACAATGTCATCTGTAGTTGGCCATCGGTTGCAGACAAGGACTAGGTCGGCTTTCCTGTCGCCAGCCAAGAGGAGGCCTGTGGCCAAAGCACCAACGCGGAAGACACCACGGAAGGGCGGCGGTGTAGAGGGGGTGGTCGTCGTCTTCTTTAGTGACGGTTTTGTCGGGGTGGTGGTAGCGCTGGTCTTCTCTGCCTGCTTCTCCTGGCTACCCTCGCTATCCGTCTTTTGCTCCTTGGCAGCGGCAGCATTGAGGGCTTCTTGTTCTTCTTCGGCAAACTTTTTAGCATCATTGATCTGCTTAAGAGCACTCTCGCAAGCAGTAACGGTCAGACGAATCATCTAAAGAGGATTGAAAAAGAACGAAATAGGGCTTAGCCTTATAGCAGGCCAGTTAGTAAAGATTGAAACTATTAACTAGCAGTGCGAAAGTGTAACTGCTTGCAGAGTAAGCGAGCGATTTTGGGATCGAACAGTTTACACCAATGGCTGTCTTGACAGCTACTCTTCAAAAATGCTGACAAATATAGAGCAGAGGAAGGCAAGCCCCTAAAAGACCGGCGATTCTACAACTAAAATTACCGCTCCCTCATAGAGTAGTAGCTGAGAAGGTAAACCTTATTGTCATTAAACCTACACATGCATAAAGTATGACCTGGAACAAAGAGGTCTGGCTTTGCTGCTGGAGTTTTTCGAGCCCTGTGCACAATAACCCTGAAAGACTAGAAGGCATTGATTCGTGGAGCCTGTCAATTCATTAACACTCGGGCGTTAAGCCAGACCATAAACGTATCACATAGCAAGGCGGTTTATGTAACGCAAATAAGGTCTCTAAAGGCCAACCGGAAAATTATGTAGGAACCTGGTTTTTTCGCAAGAGATAGATTAAGGTCTAACTCAATGTAGTCAAATCGCAGGCGTTTATTATAACTAATACGACATTTAACGTCCTATGTCAATTGGGAAGTCAATGGATTCTTGCACATTGCTTAAAGAACCTCTAAGTATTGACGAGGTGGAACGGCAACCCCAGTGTACCTCCGCTAGGTGAATCGATTACAGAAGTCTTAACTGGTATAGACGTTTACACAATCGATGCATTCTTTTCCCGGAAGAAATTTGAAGACGAGACTAGCGCACCTCATCATTCATCATCCCGGTTTTCCATCTTCTAAGCCCATAGGGGAAACGCAGATACATGTGGAAAAATTGACTGGAAAAAGAATGAATTCATATAGAAACGGTCGATCTAGGGTGAAGTACCGCCGAAAATGCTATTTTATATGATCCAACCAAATTAGCCGGTGTGGTTTAAATGTATCCGTTGAGCGTGCAACATTGAATCACTTTAAGACTAGCAGGGCTGATGCACACATACCTCGGTTTCTGCATCTGTGGGCATAACTTGACGCAGTTTGGTGTGCATATAACGCAGATCACCGAGGGACGACGTGTGACCGCCCGGGCCGAAATAGGACGGGGAGACAAAGGAGTACGGCGGTATGAAGAATCCGTCGTTATATCCGACACCAAGGCCTCCAACGACACCAGCCGGCGGCCGATGACCGTTCATTTTGGGCAATCGCGGACCCCAGGCGATAGCGGCAGAACCATTAAGGCCCGGGATAGGGGGCGGTCCTAGTTGGGGCGATCGAACCCAAGGTTGGGCTGGTCGAGGCCTTTCCTGAGGACACAAAAAGGTAAAAATTGAAACAATGAGGTGTGTGTAGATAGAAGTCTGCAAGGCAGCATTTTCCAGACTTAATCTTTAAGTTT